AGCTGCCTTTAAACGCACAGCCTCACCCCTTAAAGGTCACCTGTTTTTAGAGACTGGCCACACCTGTAGGCTACTGATGAATCAAGCAAGAGATCTGTTCAATGGAGAGAACTGAGGACCTCAAGGGCTGAAAGGGATCACTGAATCACTTCATTTAACAAATCACCCATCTAACTGATCAAAATGGAATTATTGGTGATTGGTTATTTAAAGGGCTGGAGTTCTGGAGCTGGATATAGCTGGAGCTATACCAGGGGGAGAAGACCTCTGCTCCAGCTTAATCCCTGGATATTGCATATTTGTGAATAAATCACCAGCAAGCAGCACTGACCCGGAAAAGTCTGAACCTGAAAGCTCCCACAGCTGGAAGCTGCTCAGAAACTTAAAACCAGAGATGTGCAGTCCTGGTCCAGCAGGGGGCACTGTGTCAGCAGGGTAACTAGGTCTATAAAGCAAGCTGGGGAGCAGCTGTTAAACTGGTCCAGTTAAGCCAGTTGGTTGTGCCTGTCAACGAAAAAACGAAACAAAACAAAACAGCACGGGCTCTCCAGAACCTGAGCTGGACACCCCTGATGTAAACCAATTAAGCCATTAATGAATCTTATTAAGACCTCATCAGTGCAAACAGCAGGAAATTAAACCTGCAGTGTTTGTGGCACCATTCTTAACACTCCCATGTAGTGTGGAATGAGCACACACTCTTCATTTGCTCTCATCGATACTTAAGTAGCCAAACAAATAATCATTACTTCATCCTCGGCTTTTGTGGAGTCAATATCGAAAGCGTACTTGCATTCCTTAATGGTGTTATTTACCCGAAGCTGGGGAGGAGGTTGACTGTAACTTCCACTTCCCTGTTTATAAATACTGCTCAGCAGCCCAGAACTCTGCAAGGATCTTTTTTAGCTTCCCCCCTTCACCCTCACATCTGTCTCCCTCGCTCATTCCTCGTGAGTGAAATGATCATGACAGCGGTGATCTCCGACCAGAACTGTCATTTCCTCGGAGCCATCGGAGTTAAAGCCAAATTAGGAAGTGAGCTACTACTTTATATTCGTCAGCTCTATTCATCTGTGTGAGAATTTGACCAAACTGCTGAACTACAACGTGGCCCGGCGTCGAAATCAAGAATAAGATTCCAAGATTCTCGGCTGCTATTTCCTGTCTCCTGTCACACCGCCGCGTTTTCGTGATCAAGGCCGAAGCAGCTGCTCAGTCTCGTTCTGCTCATCACTGGTTTCAGCTTTTACTCCCTGGCAGGCATTATTAATCGATTAAAGTGAACTGCGATGTGAAACATGACCAGAACAGTGCCAAATAAAATCTCATCCTTTGAATGGTTGGCTGCGTACAACATTGAGGCCAATTCCCGATCTCCTGCGGCTGATAACGTCTCTGTTGCCCCCACACGGACTCTCCCGCTCAACATGGTCTGACGCAACCACAGTCAAGCATCAGGTCCTGGTCTTTGGGGACTCACCAGGTGGCGGATGCCGTTGAACGTGTGATAGGCGACGGGGAATGCCAGGGTGAACTTGGCGGAGTAAATAAGTGCCGGTCCCAAGGACAGCGAGCGAACCACTTCCAGGTTAGAGGCGAAGTCTCCTGGCAAGACCAGCGCGGAGAGGGCAAACAGAGAGATGCCTGGGAAGGGAAGGGGAAGCTCCTGATGAGAACACTTAATGTGAATTTCTGACTCTCTTTTCCCTTATCCCTGCCCTGTTCCCCGTCCAAGATAAGATGAAATCACTTTATTGGCCCTATACAATCTCTTGCATTAGGAATTTGTGTTTTTGCAGACCCCAGCTTGCTCTCCATGAGACACACAGACAGGGAGAGAAGCTGGGGGTCAGAGCGCAGGGTCAAGCATTGTACGCCGCCCCTGGAGCAGCTGGGGTTAAGGGCCTTGCTCAGGGGCCCAACGGAGTAGGATTCCTCTGCCGGCTGCAGGATAAGAACCGGCAACCTTCTAGCCACAGGCACAGATCCTGAGCCACAGAGTCACCGCACCGAGTCCATCTCGTGAGAAATCAAAAGAAGATCACAGGTTGTGCTCATAAAAATTCCTCCCATTATGTTCTATGGGTAGAACATAATGCAGACAGCACCCCAAGAAATGAGCCCAGGGCCCCAGCAACGCTCACCACTGCGCCACTGTGCCTCCCGTCACCACGGTTTCGGGACTCTTTTTGCAAGACTGCAACGTTAGACGGAGAGAAGCCAGCGGACAGGCCGTACCTGAGCTCAGGGCGACCCCGGTCCCTCGATGGGAGATCGACATCATCATCGGAATGGACCAGCTGCAACGGGGCGGAACAAAGAGGGCCACTGCTGAGAACAACCCGACCATTCCCGCCCACCCCTTCCTCCTGTCCCAACGGGAGAAGTGACGGA